TATATATATCCCCTTCACTGTGTGCTCTAAATAATACAGAGTCAGTTATACGTGTCATCAGGCAAATCAGTCACAAATGTATGTCATACTCCTCCTCACATGGCTTGATGGTATTCCCATGCTGTCCCATTGTGCGTATGAAATGCACATGAGAGCAAAAATAATTAACCACTTGTCCCAGTTTAGATGTTGTGTTTCCCAGCCTGTCACGGTAAAATACTCTCACTGTCTTGGTTTAGTCAGATAAAAATAGGTAAAAAAAAAAGCAATGGACCTTGAACCCGTTGATTGCTGATGGTGGGGTCAACCACTGTCTGCGTCAAAAGACTGTTACGTGTGCCATTATGTGTTCCTTTTTATGCTGAACATTAGACTAAAGACATTCTTGTGGTACCTCTTTCATAACCAATTATCTTTGTGTTTTGTTATCTCTTTTATGGATTTTTTTCTTGCTATTTTTAAATCCTCTACAATTGTCTTTGCAGACGCATTATCTAAAGAAGTGCATTAAGTTAAATTTCTTGATAGAATGTTGAGGGCTCTCTAACTCCGCAGTTCCTCATTGGTTTGTTTTATTTACATTTTCTTTTCTATCAATTGCAGGCAGTGCTGTACAATGACCGCTCAGTCTTAGAGAACCACCATGCTGCATCAGCCTGGAGCCTCTACCTGTCCCAGCCCGAGTACAACTTCCTGGCCAACTTAGATCACGTTGAATTCAAGCGTTTCCGCTTCCTTGTCATTGAGGCAATACTTGCCACAGACCTCAAGAAGCACTTTGACTTTCTTGCTGAGTTCAATTCCAAGGTAAAGTAGGAGCATAATCATAAATCATAATTTCATTGATCTTTTCATCTCTGGAAATCTACTTTGAAGGAAAAATACTTTTTTATATTTATTTGTTTGTTAATAGGTAAACGATGTGAGCAGTCCAGGAATTGATTGGACCAATGAGAACGACAGACTTCTGGTTTGCCAAGTTTGTATCAAGCTGGCAGACATCAATGGACCGGCCAAAGTCCGAGACCTTCACCTCAAATGGACAGAAGGCATTGTAAACGAGTTTTATGAGCAGGTACAGTCCACAGACTTAATAAAGCAGAGTGCACTCACTGTTCACTTTATAAGGTAGGGGTTGTTAGAATGTTGTTGGGCCCCTTTTTCACTTCAGCACTACTTTAATTACCTGTGGTATAGAACCGACGATGTGTTGGAAATATTTGCTAGAGAACTGGGCTCATATTAACTTGATAGCATCCACAGTTTTGTTGCGAAATCCAGTAGTGAGATTTCTTTTTTTTGTCTTGCAATTTTGTGGCCTTTGATGCCTCTGGACTGCTATTAACTCACTGTTGTGTTCATGATAGAATATTAAGATGTTTTGAGTCAAAGTTGCCACCAGATACACCAGGACAGCACGGTCTGTTGTTTTGAAGCCCTGAAATTTGTACTAAAGGGCATATACCCCATGCCAGCAGCTTGAACCAAGTGTTGTTGACTTGGCATTCAACCGTGTCCCTCGTGGTGCCCTGTGGGGGGCTGTCTGGGATGAGGAGTCTGGGACCCTTTTCAAGGGGCCATCTAGTTGTACAAGCAGAGAAGGAGTCTGGTCCACACTACTGGCATTAAGTCAGACCTGTTCCCGGTGTGTGTTGGACTTCAACAGGGCTGGCCTCGATCATTGGTCCATTCATAACATTTATGGGCAGGATTTCTAGGCACGGCTAAAGGCTGAGGGGGTCTGCTTTGGGGATCAGTGCTGCAAAAGCTTTTCGCAGTTGACGTGGTTCAGCTGGCTCTTTCCTGCCAAGACCTACGACATAAACTGACACGGTTTGTAGCCAAGTGCGAAGCAACCGAGACCCCCCGCATATCTGTGAGCAACAGTGCTGGAAATCCCACTGATGGCTCCCTCAAACCAGCCAGGCTGTTTAAATTTCACACTGCTGTCTGTAGCAGCTGAAATTGAATAGGGCAGTTATGACTATTTTACTTTAAGTTAGTATTAAACTTTCTCACCCAAGATCAGTAGCAGCTCCTGGATCAGCTTCACTGATTGGTTGACTTGCTGCATTCAGCTGGTTAACTTCAAATTCCCTAATACGATAGCTACGGCTTTGGACACGCTCAACACTTGAACGTTCAAAACCCTCTGCAGGACCTCTTGACACCTCTTGACACACTTCCACTGTAGACATTTTTAATGTAAACTGGCGATCCCAGATACTCCAAATGCATATGGTGTGAAAAGCACCATCACCCATGACCGTCATTTAAAAATGTCTTAAGGGAAACCTCAACTCTGACTGCAGTAAACCTTTTACACCAGATTGAATTAGTCATCCAGCGGCTCATTTAAATGTTTCTCATTGAAGATTTTTGTTATCTGCAGGGAGATGAAGAGGCAAAATTGGGATTACCCATCAGCCCCTTTATGGACCGCTCTGCACCGCAGCTGGCCAAGCTGCAGGAGTCCTTCATCACCCATATTGTAGGACCACTATGTAATTCCTACGATGCTGCCGGTCTGCTTCCTGGCCACTGGGTTAATGGATCAGATTCAGATGAAGATGATGATGAAGCACAGGAAGACACAGATGAAGAAGCAGATGAAGAGGATGATCTAGAAGTTGATATGGGAACAGGTTCGATTTTAAAGTTGCATCCCTTTTTTATGATAATTTTAAGTTCCTTGAGAGCGAGCTGTGTCCTACTTTCCAACATTAGATATGGGGATGTTAGGATGATTGTCCATCTGCTTAGTGGAACCCCTTAATATAAATATTCTAAAAAGTATATAGCTATGACGGTTGACAGTAAAAAAAGGATAAGCTAATTTTATAAAGATCTAGACTTCAGTCTGTCTTATAATTGCATGAAGTCACTCAGGAACTTGTAAGTCACAAATAAATACATTTATTCACAGCAGCTTGGATAAACTAATTTTCTCCACTTTTAGGAAGGACAAAAGGTCGGCGAAGGTTGTTCAGCTGCATCATGCAGCACCTGTCAGAGAATCACAAGGTTTGGAAGAAGATCATTGAGGAGGAGGACAAGAGTAAAGAGCTTGGCAAACAGATGCAGCCAGAATGCTTGCCCACCTCTACATCAGATGACATCCAGGTTATCCAGGAGGAGGAGGAGGGGGAGGAGCGTCAGTAATGGGGGGGGCAAAGTTAATGTGCCGAGAGCTGCACAAAAAAGAAAAGGAGAAGCTGTGGAAGGACGTTCTTCAACCATCTGCCTTTTATTGACACAAAGACTGACAGTCAATAAATGCACATCAAATATACTTTGTTCCTGCTCTATCCTGAACATACACATTAAAAGATTCACTGTGCAGACACTTAGATATTAAAGCAGTCTCCTCGTTTTCAGAATCAAAAAGGCCTTACTACTGTGAGCGGATCCTTACTGCAACGGTAGGGGCCCAACCCCTATGCACTTTCATCCCATGGAGAGTCAAGTGCAAATAGACATTAAAGCACCAGAACCAAGGATAAAGGTGCAGAAGAGACTGTGGAGGGGGGGGGGTCCAGCATCGACTTTTCCTCCATGGTGAATTGGCTGTGTTGCTGCCTTGAATGCAAAGCGCTTAACACTTAACACCTCCTTTAGGTACAAAATAGTTCCTGTTTATTTATAGATAAAATGAAAGGTAGAGGAAAAGTACTAAAGTAGGTGGTATCCTCAGCCCTTACCAAAGTGAACAGTCCAACTATGGAAAGACAAGAGACTGAAAATGTTTCAGCCTCAGTGTCAAGTATATTTTAGTATATATATATATATATATATATNATATATATATATATATATATATATATATATATATATATATATATATATATATAAGCTACTGTGCCTGTTTGAAAATTTACTAAGTCCATGTTGGCCTAGAGTTTTGGCTTGAAAAGTTTCCTCTCCTTGCTGGTGACACGAAACACTGTATCAGACTCAGTCAAAGAGACGTTATAAAAATGTTGACTGATTAATAGCATTATATCTGCATCGTTTTTGATGCTTTTATTCAAGTGTACCACCCTAATACCCTCACCCCCCTTTAACTCTCTGTTCTTTGGTTTGTTTTGAATGTTGACTATTTCTGACCAGAATGTGACAGAGAGAATGAGCAGGGAGAAAGAGAGCACATTTTTAAAACATTTTAGTGTGTCTTTGTGTGTCATTTTAGCAATGTTTGATTTGAGATCAGTAAAATGTCCTCTAGTGTTTGATGTGTTGCATTCAGATCAGGAGTGCTGATTCAATGAACGGATTCTACATGTTCCTTTTATTTTTTTGATTAGAAGTATTTTTTTAAAGGTTACTCAGGATTCATGCAGAGTTGATTTATTATTTTTGCAAGAATGTTTTGTCATTCTTATGAAATACACTTTAAAAACTAAAGAAATTTAAAAAATCGGGTGATTGAAGTAGTCTGAAATCTCTTAATGAACAACTTGACCACAAAGAAATTGAAGCAGATGGAATATTCTCTGGTAGAGAGACATGCCTTATGTGCATTCTCTTGGTATAATTTATACACTGTTTGCAAAATCCTTTTACAACCTCACTGAAGAAAGTTAATCCCGATTGTTAATAGACTGCAAATATCTTTTCTGCAGCAACATCAATTCTGCAGTTTTCAAGTAATATGTTTGCTTCTATTTTGACATTAAAGAGGTTAGCAGGTTTTTTAAAAAACTAATAGTTGTTCCTCTTTTTAGAGACTTCTATTCAAACCCACCACTCAGTCAGTGTGTGAAGAAGGGATGCCGGGTTTTATTTCTCTTTGGTTTTGTTTATATACACACGCATATATAGTGTGAGTTGTCACAAGACAAGTTAAAGACATTATAGTTCTCCATTTGTATTTTTTATTTCTGTCTCAACTCTTGGCATTCCACTTAAGATATTTTATCAAAGGGAAGGCAGAATTGTTACTTTAGGTTGGTCTTTTATCACCTTATTAACTCATAATCCCTGCAGAAAATGTTAAACAAGCGGTGTATGCTGAGTAATATTTAATGACAGAAAATAAATACTGTTGTGCACATTTTAATACCAAACAAGTGTTTAGCCACTGTACAAAAGAGTATGTGCATATAAATATATATTTTTGAAATAATCAAATGAATGCATCTGTTTTCTACACACAGCTGACATGTGCATCATGTAATTATGACGTCCTTGTGTTTCCAGAGTGTTTTTCTTTTTCCAGATGTCAAACTGTGCAAGGGGGGAGATTTTACTTTCCACTTACTTCTAGCCTCAATATTTCCTCCCTGTACTCAACCATAACCACTCTTGTCTTCTCCATTAACTCTCACACTGTTCAATCACTTGATCCAACCAGTGCCAAACATTACCTGCCTTCTGTTTTTTTGTGGGCTGTGATGTGCTGATCTTTAACTTTTCTCCCGGCTGCCATTCGTGCGAGAGCAGCACATTCGATTCGAATCCAAGTGGTAGGGATGAAGGCAAGATTTCTGGCTAGACTATCTTTATTTTTTCCCACGTGGACCAGAGCTGGATCATAAAGCCATTGTAGCTCCTGACCTGACATTCTGGCTCATTAAGTCATAAATGGTTGTTGGCTTTTCAGTGTGCAGTCTTTCAAACCACAGAGTCCTACGTGATTGTGCCATGATTACATCTATGAACAGTTGTTACGCTTATAGAGCATCCGTATACCTACGTTTGTCTAATGTAACCATTCACCCATATCTTAAATGTGGGACAGCCTATTTTTGTTGTTATTTATAGATGCCATAAAACACCATCCCTAAAGTATCAACTGTTCTCATTGATGTTTTTTTCCTTTGTATGTTTAAGGGCATTTTTGTGTCTGTGCAACCACACTATACACTGTTAATTTGTTTTTTTTTTTCTTCCACACCACGTCAAAAACAAAAGGTGTAACCAGAAACCACTGCATTGCACCAACATATCCATTTTCAGTTCATATGCTCCCCTTCAACAGGTTTTGGATATCTTCTTTGTGATTTGAAAGATGAAATAAGTTCTAAGCAGAACTAACCAAAAATCATATCAATGAATCTTGTTCTAGGCTGAGTTAAGCTGGTGGTTTCTTATGGGAAACAGTAAACTCACAGATATATTTTCCTTTTTCTCACATTTCATCATTCTGTTAGTATGCAGAATGTCATAATGGTAGAGAAAAGCAAGGTAAAACACTAAAATCTCTGTATATGGTAGGAATCGGAGCTGAATTCAGTCTTGTTGGCTGCTCATAAAATTAGTCATCACACCAACACAAACTAAACAGACATATTGAAGTAATGTTTCTCAACTGTTTTAGTTTATCAGCTACAAACTAAGAGTTAAAGATTTGTAACCTCAGCAGATGTTGTATGAAGTATACAAAACAAAACTTCACACAACAGTGACCTGTTAAGGCCAAAGTATTTGACTATGGCTAACACACAACATACACGTAATTATATAACGCCAGAATTCTGTCAAAAGTGCTCACCCATAATTAATACTCACATAAGAAAAAATGTCCACTGCATTTTGAACGTTTTATGCGTGCAAATACAATACCACAAGGCCCCAGCTATGTCCATATGTCACAAGCATGAATGCATGCTCCTTCTCTGTGCTCATGTATTGCTTTCCATGCGCCTGTAGATTCTATCAGGCTTGATCTAAATACCACAAATTATGGCTCTTAGTTCTTATTCATAGCTCATATTACTCCACCTTTTGAGGGGTCAATAATAAAAACTATTCCAGGTAGGAAAGAAGCACAAGAGTCTCTTGTGCTGAATCTGGAAAGCCATCAACCTTAGGGACCTGATTTTGTGATGGACACCCACGTGATTGGCACAGGTAAAATTTGGACTACAAAAAACAAAAGTTGCACAAATGTAGCTAATGGATGATGCTCTCCCTTATAAACCCAAAACACATGAAAACGAGGACATGCACCCGTCACACACAGCACATGTCACAAAAATATGTATTATTATTATTGATGGGCTGTGTCTATACTCCCAGTCACCCAAAGGACTGTCGGCAGTCGTATAGTTCATAGTGGAGGTTCCTATGCTTACTGCATAGGCACCAGGAAGCATACTACCTGTTGGCCCCAGCTGCTTCCTAACTGTCAGCACTATTTAGATTGCACCCGATGGCCTCGGACACATTTCCGCTGCGGCTTAACTGTCCTTACCGATTTGAGGCATTCAGATCGAGCCTCCGACTCGTGTGTGGACATCTTACTGTGTGCTCATGTCAACTTTTGTCACTTTAAAGGTGGAACCAACTAGAAAAAGTAAAAAAGTAAACTGGCTAGTTTTATGTAAAACACACCTCAATACTGTCAATACTGTCTTACTCCTACTTGCTAGTTACCTTAGCTAAGCATCTCTAGGCTAACTAAATAATTTAGTTTGACCCAGTCATGACCGTGTTTTGCAAATAATAAGAAATGCGAGTAATAAGAAAAGCAAATGGAAAAAAAATTGTATTTTAAAAAAATGTTCATCAGCCTTTTGGAAACAAGATTTCTTGTTAATTGTTTTATTTCCAGTTTTTGCTGGATAACAGTTTTGGTAGTCCTTTGATGTATGTCCTGAGAAATTCCTACATCTTCTTTGAAAAAAAAAACATCTTCTCAAGCTCTTACAGATATGATGACCCTCTTGGATGGGGCACTAAATGGAATTTAAATTTGGGTTTCTCCGGGTCAATTAAGAACTTGACTGAAATTTCATTTAAAACTGCTCTAGATAATATCATTTTTTTAAAGTGCAGCCTTGAAAAACAGTAATTAATTAGTTAAACTACTATTAATTATTAATACAAACTACTATTAATTAGTAACATTAATGTTATCCTTCATGGTGTAGTTCTATCATTAGCAGCTGTTTATCATACTTGTACTACTCATCTTTTGCTTATCAGGGAATAGGTCACAGTCTCAGTATAGACTACCAGACATCTTCTCCACCTTATCCTCCTGTCCAAAGCTTGAGACATTCCAGGGCCTATGGAGATACATAGTGCCTCCAGCGCGTCATGGGCTGCCCCGCTTGGTCTCTTCACAATAGGATGTGACTGAATCATCTTCAGGCATCCAGGTGGTTAGTATCTTCATCCCAAGTGTTTCACACTTGGCTGCAAAGTACCCTAGGACATGTTGTAGGTCTTGGCAGGAGGAAGCAAGCAGAAGCACGTCATCCTGATAAAGCAGGACTGAATACTGCTAGAACCCCTCTGGCCCTTGGCTGCATTTAGAAATCCTATCTACAAAATTTATGAACTGGACCAACAATAGAGGGCTGTCCTTCTGGAGTCCATGATGCATCGCCAATAGGTCTGACTTAAGGACCAAACTACTCCTCAGTTTGTACGGCAAATGATGGCCCCTAGTAAAGGGCCCATGATTCTGTACTTCTGTAGCACCCCACACAGAGAACCATGAGGTACACAGTTAAATCACTTCACTAGACACCTGTGGATTGGTCAGAGAAACTTCCATGAACAATTTAACATGCTGCAGACGACGTAGAACTGCTCCAGTGTTCCATGGCAAGGACAAAAAAAAAAAAAAGCTTCTCCTGAAGCCAAGGTTTGACAATCAGCCTTGTTCTTTTTTCCAGCCCGTCAGCATGGGCCTTCCTGGTAGCCTGAGAAGCATGATCCCCCTGTAGTTTATCTCTAGGGTTAATTTTGGAGTACAAAACAACAGCCAGACATGGTTTCCTTCACTGCAACTTCACACTGCATTCATCGTTCATGGG